AAAAAAAAAAAAAAAAAAAAAAAAAAATTAAAGGAAAAAAAGTTATAGTCATGTAGATTTGAATTTACATGACACGGATTTTGTGTCTGGGTTCCAAGCTCTACTATGTGGGAAGCGCTGGACTGTGTCCATTTCCTTTCTTACAGGGTTGGAAAAGAGGTTCTAACTCTGGTTCTGGTTATTGGTTGGCATTTCAGAGAAGGTTTGTGTGACTATCCAAAAACTGTGCATGAAACGTTAGGCTGGGGAGTCAGAGGTCAGCTAGAAGCTTAATGAGACTCTAACTAAAGGAGCCCAGGACCCAAAAAGGTTATGATCATGAACAGAGATTTTTGTGCATTCGCACCTATCCCAGATATATTCATTCCAAACTCTCATGATGCTCTATGAACAAAGGGAGCTAGTTGAGAGTAGAGCTTAAATGTGTGATGAATATCACAACCGACAAGAGAAGGGCAATCGAAACTGAATCACAGTGAAATTACAGAAAGAAAATCCACGGCATTTAATTAGATTGCATTTTATTTCAATGAAAATCTGCCCCAAACAGAACTAGGAATCAGATATTGCCTTGGACTAGAGGTAATTGCTAAGCTGGAAGCTTATACTGAAAAGTAAAATTTTCAGCCCTTGACTATCACAGTTCCAAACATTAAAGGAAAATATTGGAACAACGTATCTATGTACAGAGAGAGGCAACTCATGGGTACCGCTGTAAGCAAAATAACCTGAGGGGGAACATTTTATATTCCTCAATTACAAGAAGTGGCGAGAGTTTACAAGTCTTGCATTGCTTTCTGTTGTACATGGCTCTGTAGTAATGCCAAAAATAACAAAATGGAGGCACTTGCTCTGACTTCTGCAGTTTACATTAGATTATTATGTCTTCATAAATTAACAGCAGCTTTAGAATGATAAAACGGTATTGTTACTTCATGCTACTGTTGGTGTTCCTCTTGTTAAAATGATGTTCTCAACGGACATAGATATAGAGCTTGTACAGGAGCGACTCTGGGCACATCCAGGTAGAGTAGAAGCACGTTGTGAAGCGGCTACTCATGGAATCTCAACTGTGATGGCCAGCGGGCACCTGACCACAGGTGGCAGGAAAAGACAAACACAGGTGGACTTTAAACAAAAACATCCACTTCCCACAAACTACACAAATCTTTAATCTGTTCAAAATAGCATAGAATGTCTTCCTGCCATAGAGAGGGAGTCAATATGAACTTGTTATAAATTGGTCATTTCCAAAACTTTTAGTTCCTCTTCAAAACCTGACACCAGCACTTGGATTTAAATCTCAGTTGGCGGCCAGGCACAGTGGCTCACGCCTGTAGTCTCAGCACTTTGGGAGGCCTAGGTGGGTGGATCACGAGGTCAAGAGTTCAAGACCAGCTCTCTACTTAAGATGATGAAACCCCGTCTCTACTTAAAAAAAAAAAAACAAAATTAGCCGGGCGTGGTGATGCTACTTGGGAGGCTGAGGCAGAGAACTGCTTGAACCCGGGAGGCAGAGGTTGCAGTGAGCCGAGATTGCACCACTGCACTCTAGCCTTGGCAATAGAGCGAGGCTCTGTCTCCAAAAATAAATAGGAGACTTTTTAAAAAAAAAATGAATTCAGAATATGAATGAGAAATTTACCAAGGAGATAGATATCTTTCNAAATCTCCTCAGTTGGCAAAAAAAAAAAAAAATTTATATATATATACACATATATATCTCAAAAAAAGTTTTTTGAATTTGAGGATTTTAATAATTAAGTATGGGTAGCTATTATTTGAGAATAATTCCTAAAAGATGACTTCCAACTACAAACAAGCCTATACACTGCTCTCTTGAGGTGTATCTTTTACTAATACTGCCAATTATGAATGAAGTTAGGTTTGTTAGCATAAAAGAAACTACTTTCAGTTTTCAAAGCAAACTTTCTTTCCACTAAAACTAGGCTTTCCAGCTAATCAGCAGTCAAAATTTAAATTCTCAAACTGGAGTACCAAGTTTGAGTAAAGTCCAGAAAGCTATATGCCAGGCCAGTTCTATATGTCAAGAGTAGGTGACACTGCTCTTTCTGTGACAATTGTCTGACAAAACTCTTAATGTATTAGCATGACGCATCGTTTTGACATTAAAAAAATTTTTCAGGCCAGGCACGGTGGCTCACGCCTGTAATCCCAGCACTTTGAGGTCCAAGGCAGGTGGATCACCTGAGGTCGGGAGTTTGAGACAAGCCCGGCCAACGTGGTGAAACTCCCATCTCTACTAAAAATATAAAAAATTGCCCGGGTGTCGTGGCAGGTGCCTATAATCCCAGATACTCGGGGTGTGTTGGGGGGTGCTGAGGCAGGAGAATCGTTTGAACCCGGGAGGCAGAGGTTGCAGTGAGCCACAATCGCACCACTACCCTCCAGCCTGGGCAACAAGAGTGAAACTCAGTCTCAAAGAAAAAAAGAAAAGAAAAAAAAATCCAAGATTACCTTTCAGGAAAGGTATTTTTACTATTAAGCCTTCTTAAAATTTCTTTCTAGAGACATTTGTTATTGCTTGAAACCAAAAATATTAACACACACAAAAAGACAGACATTTTCAGGAATTACCAGATGGTAGAATTGTACTAAGGATGTCAGTCTGAAAAACTACTGGCTTATTTCAGGAAAAGCATCTCCACCACGACTTCCCCGGAACACACAACTCAAACCAGTGAAAAACACTTTCATGTAATGACTGCATTAGAAAGTTCTAGCTTATCAATTATTATCTTTATCATCCTATGGTAGTACACATATATCCCAGGCTTCCTGTTATCTAATAAAACCAGCAAATCTAAGTGAAGCAAATCTTTTATTTAAATCAGTCATCAAATCACAACTTATCCAAATGAATGTGTTGCAACATTGTTCTTAAAATGGCACAGATATGGCACAGACACAACCCAGTATCTATCAAAATACCATTTGTAAAGAACCTGACTTATTTCATGCCATGTGTGAATGCAGTCCAGCATGTAAGAGTAGAATCTTACAACAGTAAGAAAAAAACTTACAACAGTGAATTCTCTTCTTCATAACATATAAAACATTTCGCTACTCTGCCTCAGGATTAAGAATACTCATTGGTCCAAATAACCATAACAAGTAGGATGTAAAAAGGATGGAAAGTTAATCTGCTACCAGAATAAAACTTCTTTCTAACCTCCACTGGGTTAGAAGGAAAAATTTCCCAATGACGAGAGAACATTCTGCATGTTTCAAAAGGCTTTTTAGTTTTAGCACACTGTGCCAAATAGGAAGGCGACTCATTTCAGAATGCCACTAACTATGGACCTAATCGTTAGTGAATTTTAACGAATTGTACCTTGATCAGGAATGTTATTACTAGGAAGCTCTGTTTTTTGCGGGTTATAGCTGAGGCTTAAAGCTCCCCAAGGCTGCTCTATGGCACATGCCCCATCATATATTGTGTGATACAAAAAGCATGTAGTATCCTGCACATTTCCTTAAACATTAAGAAAAAAATATACAATAGATACAGAAGGAGGATTACTTCAAACATACATATAAATACATAAAGAACGATAATCCAGTTTGAGAAGTAGAACTAGGTATTGCCAACTCCAGTTCCAGGTTAAGAATTTAGGATGTTAAATCAGAATTTATATGCCTATCAAGGGGAAACAGTAGGGTGGGCTTGAAAAGAGGAAATGTTAAATGGTTCTAGCTCCTGATGAAGCCTCAGGATTGTCAGGGGCTCTCTGGAAATGAGATCAGTTGATGTGCCTGCTCTCCGAGTCTCAAAGTTCTGAAATACTGGTCTTCAGTCTCAGCAGCAGCGTTCACTTTTTTCTACTACTTGTCTTCACATTCTGGTCTTCCAAACAGACAATGAGTTTAACTGTAGAAGGAGGAAGAATCAGCGTAAATAAAAATCTCCTTTTCCTCTCTCATTTATTAACAACAGGACAGTTGTCAAAGTGACCTAATAATACCATAGTTTAACTCCGTTAAATAAACAAAGATGGGGCCTGGCACAGTGGCTCACCCCTGTAATCCCAGTACTTTGGGAGGGCAAGGCGGGAGGATCACTTGAGGTCAGGAGTTCGAGACCAGCCTGGCCAACATGGTGAAACCCCATCTCCACTAAAAATACAAAAATTAGCCGGGCATGGTGGCATGTGTGTGTAATCCCAGCTACTCGGGAGGCTGAGGCAGGAGGACCACTTGAATCTGGGAGACTGAGGTTGCAGTGAGCCGAGACTGCGCCACTGCACTCCAGCCTGGGCGACAGAGTGAGACTCCGTCTCAAAAACAAATCAAAATAAAACAAAACAAAGATGGGTTGGGTACAGTGGCTTACGACTATAATCCTAGCACTTTGGGAGGCTGAGGTGGGAGGATTTCTTGAGGCCAGGAGTTTGAGACTAGCCTGGGCAATGTAGCAAGACCCCTGTCTCTACAAAAAACATCAAAAAAAGGACCAGGAAGTGGCACATGCCTGTAGTCCCAGCAGCTACTCAGGAGGCATAGGCAGGCGAATTGCTTCAGCCCAGGAGGTGAAGGCTGTAGCAATCCATGATGGTGACACTGCATTCCAGTGTGGGTGACAGAGCAAGGCTCTCTCAGAAAACAAGAAACAACAACAACAAAAAAGAAAACAAAGATGGGGAGTGTCTTGTATTGTATTCTGTTACACTGCCACAAAACTAGTGACTGTAAGTGGCTAACACAGTGAGGGTCACTCATTATATGCACTGGAAAATTTTTAAAAAATGCTCATTACTACTGCTAGGGGAAAAAAATCAATTTTTTCCAAAAGAGCTGTAAACCATATTTCAGGCAGTTTAATATCAACCCACTTTGGGCCACTAGTTATTTTTATAAAAACTCAACAAGCTAGTTGAGTGAACACAATGTATTTCTTATGCCTTAGGGTCAAACATGCACATGTGCACACACACATGCCCTTTCATTTTCTTCTAATGCAGTCACAGTAGGGGCTAAAACGAAGCCATTATTTTCATAACACTGATAAGACTAAATGGCATTTCAATGACCAAAAACCATGAAACTATCCTAGATCTTTGAATCTAGTTGATATTTTCTTCAACTGAAGGCTCTACATGAAGGCATCATTTGCTCCGATTCCTTATGGAACAAATTTGCCATCTATTGGCATAAAAGATAAACATTATCTTAGAAGAAAAGGAGGCTTACTTGCATGATGTTTTAGGATTCTGTAAGTTCTGATTTTGCAGATTCTCTCTCTTGTTTCTGCATCTCCTCCTGTGTTTGGGTTGTGATTGCTTTATCTGATTCACTGTGCCCTTTTCCTTCCTGAAATTCTACTTCCTGGGCATCTTCCTTCTCTTTTTGTTTTGGTCCATTTGTATCTGGGGACTCTTTGGTTAAGCCTCCTGAGGCATCAGTTTCGGCCAGGGCTGAGTTCTGGTTTTCAGGGTCGACGTCATCACCTTTTTCATCGTCTTTGGGTTCAACACGTGACTTCTTTATTCTTTCTGCTAACAAGGCATGACCCTCATCTTCTGGCACAGGCTTTGTTCCAGCCCCATCTCCCTCTTCCTCGGATGGGAGGATGACCTCTTCCAGCTGCTGATCATTTACAGTGGAACCTTCTACCTCAACAGTCATGGTCTTTTCTGAAGCTTCACTCGTGTCTTTTGAAGTATCGGAATGTGTCTGTCCCACTGCGGTTGGCTCTGACTCCTCTTTGGCTGTAAGAGTTTGTGGTTCATCTTGTGCAGAGGCCTGAGGTTCACTTCCTTCTTTCTCCGATACCTGCCCAGCGTCCTGCTTGTCAGCTTTTATCAGGTGAGCTTGCATCTGTAACTCGGACGCAAACATTTCGGTGGCTGTTTCTTCTGTACGCACAAACTGGTCAACGGCTGTCTGAATGATGTTGTGGACAAGTTTACTGCTTTCGGTCTCAAGTTCCAGAATCCTATGTTCAGGCTCTGAATCTTCTGAGATTGCTACCCTCACTCTGACCTCCGGGCAAGCAACCCGCTCATCAGCTTCATCTGACTTCGATTTCAGTGAGGTGGTTCTCTCTCCATCCAGGTCGGAATGTAAGCCTTCTTCGGTAATGGCAGACCCTATCCCTGGTATCGATTTGGCCTGACCCTCGGGCACTGTGGGCACAGCATCTTCTCCTGCATGAGCAGTAAAGTCTGCATTTTTTTCAGAGGATTTCTCTTCCAGAACTGAATGTGCACCTGCAGGCTCCAGCATTTCACCTGTTTCTAAAATGCTGACAGTTTCTCCTAAGACCTTTTCCTCCTCTGCAGCAGCTGTTGGAGTTAGTGATGCCTCAGAGCTCTGACCTTGAATTTTGGTGGACGCTGCCTCCTCTTGACCTAGGCAGGGGGGAGGGCTTCCTTCGAAACTGCTGACTTCCTTTGCCCCATCTATGATGCGCACACTCACTGTCTGGATGAGTTGCTTACTGACCTCTTCAGATACGGTAACAGCTGTTTTGTGCTCAAGTTTCTCTTTTTTCACAGGAGTTGGCTCTGCTTCCATTTTCTCCCTTTCGACTTGAACTACCATCTCTCTCTCCACGGGGGACAGAGCAGACTTCGTGTGACTCTGCAGTTCAGTAGCATCATCCTTTTGACATTCAGCTTCTCCTGTCACTTCCTCTTTAAGGGCAACTTCAGTGACCTTTTCCTGACTGACTGCTACGCCTGTGTCTATAGACACCTCCAGTCCTTCGACAAATGGTTCGTCTTTGGTTTTCTCATCAGCAAACTGGCCAGCCTCTTGGGTCCCCTCCGTCTTCGACAGAACAGGTCCAGCTTCCACTGACTCCTCTTTATCTGTATGCTCTAGCGTGTCTTCCATCTTTGATTGTTCTTTAGTTTCTTCCTGGAGCACAAAACTGGAAGGTGCTGGGGGCCCCTCTGTCTGTGCAGGAACTGCCTCTGCTTCTGCACCCCCTGACTGGGTACCAGATGCGACCTGATTCTCCTCTTGGATTTCCACAATCTTGTCTTTCTGAGTTGTGCCTAGTGCGTCAAAGTCTGCTACAGGGGTGCTTCCATCGGTCTCACTGTCTGTAGGGGTTTCTGCCAAGTCAGCGGGGAGAGCCTGTTTCACCACCATCTCCTGTGATTTTCCCCCAGCTAAGGTTTCGGCGTGACATGTGGTTGCAAGCTCACTGGACTCTCCGCTCTCTGTGGCTGGAGGAGCTTTTTCAGAGCTTTCCGGGGTGGTCTGCCTCACCGTCTTCCCTTGTGTAAAAGGCTCAGTTTTCACCTCCTGAGCATCTACTTTCAGTGCTACATCCGTCTCTTTCTTCAGATCCAGTGCTTCAGCATCCTCTTCAGATCTTTCTGCCTCTGCTCTCTGCCCAGGCTGAAGCGTGTCTTCCGGCCCACTGGTGCCAGGCAGCTGGGATTCCTCTTTCACTTTTTCTGCAACCGCCTGGAGGACCTCTTGAGTCCGTCTCTCTTGCTCTTCCATGTCGGGTACTCCACCTTCCACCTCTTGCACCGGGGTGGCCTCCTCGGTGGTGTCTGGGGAGTCGGTTAACTGGGAGACTGCTGACACCATTTCTGTGGTCTCTTCAGCAGCAGATGCTTCGGCTCCTTCTTCGGCACCCAATGGCCCCGCAGTTTCTGCCACTGTCACTGCTTTGGAGGTCAATTCCACCTCGCTGACGACCGTGTCACCCTGGGCCTCTCTGTTCTCTGGCAGAGGCTCAGTAACCTCGGGGGTTTCTTCTTCTGCAATGACTTCTCTTTCCAATACCTCCCCAGTTAACGGTGCAGCTTCAGGTTCTACTTGTTCAAGGGGCTCTGTCACTAAAGCAGATATCCATGAAGGAGACCTTTCTTCATTAATGGCAGCTGCCCTGGTCCCGTCAATGACAGCTGCTGCCACCATATGACCCTGACTGTCACTGAGCTCCTTGGACACCTGAGCAGCTGCCTGGTGCTCGGGCTGCTCTACGCTTTTCTGTGCTTGCTGTGCCTCCATTTTCTCCCTTTCTACAGCGTCATACTCCGACAGAGGGACCACGGCCGGGACATCAGAGTCATCTTCGTTGGCGCCTGCTGGCCCTGCGTCTTCAGCAGGGACTTGTTCTTGCTTCCCATCTGACCTTTTCTTCCTTCGTCCAGGAATAAACTTCTTGATTGAGACCCAGGATTCTTCTTTCCCGGGTTCAGCATCTGCAGTGGAATGTTCTACACCAGACCCAGCTACGGAGTCTTCGTTTTTCTCTTCCAGCTTGGACTTGGATTTTTTTCTTGGCGTGACTAACCTTTTAAATGACTCCCAGGTAGAAACACCCTCCCCTTCAGTAGGGCTTCCAGCTTGCTCGGGGGATGAACAGCCCTGTCCGGGCTCATGTTCCTGGGAACCCGTGAGGGTCCCGTCTGTCCCTGTCTCTTTGTCTTTTCCGGGCTCATCTGCTTTCTGGTGGTCTCCTCCCATTGCTTTTGGCCCCCCTTCCTCATCAGAGGAGGACCCTTTCCTTGCTCTTTTCTTGGATGATCCCACACAAATTAAAGCTTCCCAAGATACTGAGGTATCCACCTTGCGCTTTGGTTCTTCTGGCTTTTGCTCTTCCACGCTCCCTTTCATTTCTTCTTGCATTTCAGAGGCCGCGCTCTCGGTGGAAGACAAGGTAGCGCTCTTGACCTTGTCCAGCTCATCTTCTTTGTCACTTTCTGAAGACCGTCTAACGCGCTTCTTGGGCGTCACCATCTTTTTGAACGATGCCCAGGGAGTGACACCTTCTCTTTTTTTCTCTCCGTCGGAAGCAGCTCCTTCTTCAGCTTCCCCGTCCTGGTGCACCTCGGCTAAGCCCTTCTCCAGGCACGTGATCTCCTCGGGCTCCTCGGGGGACGAGGCCGAGCTCTCGCCCTTCTGCTCCTCCTGGCTGTCCGGAGAATCGGCGGGAACCTGAGTGTGCTCCCCTGAGTCCTCGTCTCCGCCTCCTCTTTTCCCTTTCTGTTTCTTTCCGGAAAGCTTTTTTAAGCCAGTGCTGGTAAAAAGCTTCTTGAGTGGACTTCCCTGCACCTTCATTCTCTCCTGTGATGACAGCAGCTCCACCTCACTCACAAAGCCTTCAGGGGGCTTGGACAGCGCCTTCTCATCAGGACTGAGGTCAGCTCCCAGCGCAGGGTCCTCTCCGGAAACACTCGTGTCTTTGAGTTTCACCAGCTCCTTGGCAGGTTCGGCTTCCTGAGGTTCTGCATTCATTTCAACCAACTCTTCAGCAGGCGCTGACCCTGCCGTTTCTTCCACCTCCATTTTCGGCTCCTCGGTTCTCTCCTCCGCGGTGCTGACATGGACATCGGCCACAACCTCTTCCTGGTGGACTTCTATTTTCTCATCAAACACTTCTGTCGCCAGCGGAGCGGGTTTGTCTTCAGAAGGTCCCTGCGAGCCAATGACCTCCTCCTCCGAGGGCAGCTCAACTTTCTCATATTCAGCTGATAACAGGGGCTCGGGGGCGCTTTCCACCTCCTCCTGTGGCTGGGCCTGCTCGGAGCGAGCCTCTGCCTTTCCATTTTCTTCTGTGTCTTTCTCTGGCTCTTGTTCCTTTTTCTTCTCTGAGGCTTCCAGTTCATCCTCCTTCGGCTTCCTGAAACTGGTCTTTTTTCGCCAGCCGGCCCAACCTTGAGTGAAGAATTTTTTGAAGGTTGATGCCGTTTCAGTCGTCACGGGACTCGCTGGGGACTCTGCAGACTTGCTGGGTTCTTTTTCTTGTTTCTCTTCTCCTTCCTCTTTGCATTCCTCCATGGCTTGGCCAGCTTCGGCTGGAGGAGAAATTTCTGCGTGGCTTTGCTCATGCTTCAGGGTCTCTTCGGGTTTCTCTGTGGATTGTTTGAGTTCGCTTTCTTTGGAGACTGCTTCTCCAGCCCCCGGGCTGGGGTCCTGGTGGTCGCCAGCCCCTGCTGCTCCTTCCCCTTCATCTTTTTTCACAGTGAGTAGCTGGACAGTGTCAGGCTTCTCTGTCTTATCCTTTTTCACAGTGAATTTAAAGCCGACAAACTTAAACACCTTCTTAAATCCAATATCATTAGCCTGGGACTCCGCAGGTTGTGTTAGCTCTTCCAAATTGCTTTCTGAAGAAGGAATCTGTTCGATGATTTCGGGGGTCTCCTCCTGCCCATCGTCTCTGACGTCTTGATCAACTGTTGACGTAGCAGCCATCTCCTTATCAGAGTCTCTTTCGCTCACATCTTCAGAGTCTCTCTGTCCAACTATTAACAAAAAGCGGGGTGGGGAGAAGAGAAAAGATGATTACAATTCAAGAAAATCGTTTTTCTGAGACAGGGCGCCACTCTGTTGCCCGGGCTGGAGTGCAGTGGTGTGGTCTCGGTTCACTGCAGCCTCAACCTCCCAAGCTCAAGCAATCCTCCCACCTCAGCCTCCCAGGTAGCTGGGACTACAGGCACATGCCACCATGTCCAGCTAATTTTTTATTTTCTGTAGAGATGAGATCTCACTAGTGGGTCCAGGCTGGTCTCCAGCTGCTGGGGTCCAGCAATCCCCCTGCCTCAGCCTCTTAAAGTGGTGAGATTATAGGCGTGAGCCACTGTGCCCAGCCCAAGAAAATTAAATATTTTTAAAACATGACCAATTAATACTTTCTTTAATGACAGGCAATTCGAGGATAAAGTGAGATCTTATGGAGATGTGTAAATCTTTTTTTTAATATCGAGATGGAGTTTCGCTCTTGTCACCCAGGCTGGAGTGCAGAGGTGTGATCTCGGCTCACCGCAACCTCCGCCTCCAGGGTTCAAGTGATTCTCCTGCCTCAGCCTCCCAAGTAGCTGGGACTACAGGTATGTGCCACCAGGCCCGGGTAGAGATTTGTAAATCTTAATAGATTAATGTCTACTTCCTTCCAATGACCTTTAAAAATTTAGGTTCAAAGAGAATCATCTGCTCTTACTGTTGCCTATTAAAGGGAAAGTTGACAAACTTAACTATCAAAAAATTAGTTCCACATAAGTAGCCATGGCACCCCTAAGAATGAGTCAACCAGATAGTTTATCTTCTGTTGCAGTGTAAGATGGAATCCCACATCACACCCATATTTTAAACAAGAATCCATCAAGTTTTAGATACAACTTCCCACTTAACAGGAAATATAGGGTGTGAGAAATAAGCTAAAGAACAAACAAGTATCTACACAAATCCAAAAGAGGGGACATTCTATGTGGTAACTAAGACTCGACAGGTCCCCAGAAGGGACCAGAGCTCTTTGGAGAAATTCCAGGCTGGGTCATAGGGTGTATGAAAAATATTTTCTTGTGACTGAAAGAAGATGCTCAAAAGCTGATAGAGGTATGTCAAAAGGACACAAGAGCTGGCTTGAAGAGGCTCCCAATGCCCAAACTTTGACACATAAAAAAGAATAATGGGTTCTTTGTAGTTCACGAGAGTGACGACTGGGTGTTCACAAGCGTGTGTGAGACTGTGCCACCCTCACACCTTGTTACCACGATTGTGCACATCACTCACCTGACATAAAAAAGAAAGAATAATGACATTGATGAGTTACAGCACGTTGAATAAAAAAAGAATCCATGAATCGAGAGTGATACTAAAAAATGTAAATAGGGAGCCGGGAGCACTTCCTTAAGGAAAAAAAGTCAATAAATATAGATATAATTTCTACTTTGATCCTCAAAGTCATTATCTTTAGAATTTTAGATTTAGAAAATCACAATTTACAAGCACCATTTAATAACTCATTTATTCAGGCCGGTGCTAAGTTCTGGCATTACAGGGGGCAGTGGCTCACGCCTGTAATCCCAGCACTTTGGGAGGCCGAGGCAGGCGGATCACGAGGTCAAGAGATCGAGACAATCCTAGCCAACATGGTGAAACCTCGTCTCTACTAAAAATGCAAAAAAATAGCCGGGCATGGTTGCACACGCCTGTAGTCCCAGCTACTCGGGAGGCTGAGGCAGAAGAATCATTTGAACCCAAGATGTGGAGGTTGCAGTGAGCTGAGATAGTGACAGAGCAAGACTCCATCTCAAAAAAACACAAAAAACTCATTTAGTCAAGGATCACAGACTGCTAAAGCCATCGGGTAAAAGGCTGTCAGGAAACATACATTCAGAGTACCAACACACACATTACTTAATTTCACAAAAAAGACCTTGACAATGGAGATATCTGGTAGGCACCATCTTAACCAAGTGATCAAATTTAATATCCTCAATAATGGGACAGATTGCATTTCGCTTCCTGATGTGAGGCACTCAGAAGGACAAGAATTCATCTACGTAGCACTCCTGACTAAAATATTTAACGGCATCTCATCTCATCATGAGGACACAACCAGACAAATCCACAATGAAGGACGTTCTGCAAAACAACTAGCCTGGCCTGAAATGTCAGTGTCACGGAAAAATGAAAATCAAGCAGAAGCACAAAAAGGATTGTCTGCAAGTAACTTTCAAACAGCTTGGTGGGGGGTGGTGGGGTGGGCGGACGACGTGGCTCTCCATAAATGGTGAATTAGGTCAAGCGTACATAAGTGTTTACTATGATTTTCCAGGTTTGTAATTTTAAAATCATTCAGGGGAAAAGTCAAGTCAATGTGATTTAATGGGGGGAGGTGGAGGGGAAAGTACTGTGTTAAATTAAGAGATTTAAGGAACACAACCAGAGGTGCCTGGCATGATCCTGAATTGGATCAGCCAAAGGACATTTTTGGGTCTTCCTGGGAAAAACTGAATGAGATTTGGGATTGGATGAGATGAATTTTAACCGAAATAAAAGGGTAGAGATTTGACTGCAGAAAGCAGGTCACCAAACAGTATATACAATGACTTCATTCTGGCTTAAAAACAACCGTCTCTCCTTTCTCTCTCTCTCTCACATAACCCCCTGCCCCACCCACACACCCACCCTTCACGTATGTGATCTCTGGGGGATGCGAATGTCATTTATTTTAGTTTTGCTTGTCTGAATGTTCTAATTTTCTTTTCTCTTTTTTTTAAGACAGAGTCTCACTCTGTCGCCCAGGCTGGAGTGTAGTGACATGACCTGGGCTCACCGCAACCTTTGTCTCCCGGGTTCAAGAGATTCTCCTGCCTCAGCCTCCTGAGTAGCTGGGACTACTGGCAGGTACCACCACACCTGGCTAATATTTGTATTTTTAGTAGAGATGGGGTTTTGTGGTCTCAAACTCCTGACCTCAGGCAATCTTCCTGCTTCGGCCTCCCAAAGTGCTGGGATTACAGGCATGAACCACAAAGCACTCAGCCTCTAATTTTCTTTGTCTTTTCTTTCTTTTTTTTTTTTTT